GCCACTGGTGGTTGACCAGCACACATGACGGCCGCCTGCAGCACAGCTCGTAATTGCCCATAAAAGATCCCTCCCTACTTCTTCCCTTCCTCCCTTTTATTTCACGGGTGAGTTAGGTGGCTCGTGAAGTCATCTGCCCCCCTGACCTGGTCTGCAGCCTTTAAAATGATTAGGGCCACCGCATAAACCATACGCTCCACTCACACACCCCTAGTTTGGGTTGCTAGCACGTTAAGAGAAGAAATTTACACAAAATACAACTATATATATTTTTTGCAACAAAAGAAACTATTTATTTGGAATATGCATTACCAGTACAAATTAGGAGACGGTAAAACCTACACCGTGTTAGTATTATTAGAGAACACAAAAGTTCAGTTGGAATCAAAAGGGACAGAAGCCTGTGCTCTCACAGAAGCAGAAAAGCTTAAACTTTCAAAACCAAAACAGAGCAGAACTTTGCAGGTTTATACTGAATAACAAGAACAGGGGAGGAGAGCGAGAGAATAAAATCAACAACCAAAGGAAAGCGCTTCAAAAAAATGGAAAACGCCAAAGGAAAGAAAGGGAGTCGTAAGAGAGAAAAGGGGGGAACACATTGAATGTTTTATTAATTTTAACAAAAGGGAAAAAAAAACGTTTACAAAAAATGAAAGATTCCAGAAAGCTTTGAGCTGGGTGTCGAAACCGTAAAGGTGATGTGAAAAGCTCGTCATTATTTTGTTGACTCAGGAACAAGCGTGCAGGTGTGTGGGCAGTAACACCTGCCAGGCTTCGTTCCGCGGTCCCGCACCTTTGCCTGCACTTTTCTAGCTTAGGTTCTTGATGCTTTCTGGACACTCAATCATTGGTTGAATGCAAGATGTTTGAGATAAGCTTCTTCCAGATCGTACTGCTTTCTTTTCTCCTGTAACTAATAAAAACATTCCAAATCAAGCCAGTTTAACCATTTGCTTGAAGCAGCCGCCTCCATTGGAGACTAATAAGAGGTTTGCTGTCAAGGAGTCAAACTTGACCTCTCACCATTAAAAGGAGAGAGCACTGAGTCAGGCTCAGTTTCTCAACTCTTCATCCAAAATCAGGACTCAAGAGATCAGGAGGCTCACTGACTGACCCAGGAATGGCTTCTTGGATCTAGTCTAAGCAGCCAGTGGTCCATCACACCAGGATTTCCTGTGGGATGCTTCTGGAAGAAAAATCCTCTCTGGTTGTTAGGAGGGCTCACGGAATGTTGTTATTAATCAGGAAGAAAGAAAACACTCTGTTGTGGCTTTCAGAGTCAACAAAGGCAAAAAGTCTTTCCCTACCTTATAAAAGGTCTTCTGGACTGACTCCTTGAATTTGTTAAGGGCCAAAAGGTGAACCCAGGGCCGTGACTGTGTTTTTCTCAGGGACTGTGGGAATGCCACACGCTCTGGAAATACGGAGGAGTGCGTGACATCGGCCTGGACTTCCTCTTTGTCTTGGAAGTCTACTGAATTCCGGAGCAAAAGAGAACCACAAGGAAACCGCCTACTCTACAAATGTCATCTTTTCACATCACCTCGTGTACATATTTAAGGAATAAAAACAGCAAGATCATAATCCTGACAATTAAAAAAAAAAGCACCCCCCCCGCGATAAACAAACCAAAAATAACACAAAACATAATTTTTTAATATATTTTAAAGAGTAGGAAGGAAGAAAGAAAAGAATTTATTTCTGGGTCTCAAAGTTAATAAACATAACATGTTAGGTTGTACCTAGGATGCTTCACTATCCCAACCTTTTTTTTTTTTTTTTTTTTTAGTTTACAAAATGAATTACTGTCACTTTTAAACATTGTGAAACAGGAAATGAATGTGCACAACTCGACACTTTTCTAGCATTCTTGAACTAATTCACAAATGCAAGAAAATGAAAGAAAAATGGGGGAAATGATTAATGTAGGTAGTCTGGTGTGAAAAACAAATGCAGGAATGATGAGTATTGTCACAGAAAGAAGAGGGAGCCTCCCCCATCCTGTTTTGCGTGCTATGAGGGTCATTTTTTAAAATTTTTTTATTATAAACACTATTAAATCCAGACCGCTTTTTTGGTTTTTTTTTCTTTATCTGAATATACAAGAACATTCATTATCAAATGTTCATCATCAATACTACAAAGAACGAGACACAAGTCGCAAGAAACAATGGAAAATGTTAATAAAGCTGAAAGAATCATTGAGTATTTTTTTTGTATTTTTTAAAGTTTTTTTTAAATTTGAGTTTCTGTAGTTTCATCTTTTTTTTTGGTATCGAAGTCAGGTTTTTCTGGGCAGAAAAATAAAACTCAGAAGGGAGAGGTGGGGGGCAGGGAGAAGGTACATGAGAGAAGACAACGAGCAAATAAAGAACCACCACCACGGCAAACTAAAAAGAACTGACGTAAGGAAGGTGCCACTTGGCATAAAGTACTGCACAAGGCGTCAGTTTCACGCCAGGGGAAGGAGTCAGGGACGAGAAGGAAGGTGGGGTGAAGAGTTACAAGGTGGGCAAACCCAGGAGCTACTTTTTCTCAGGGAAATAGGCCTCCAGGGAAAATGGCGCGCTCCTTCTCCAGTTAGAAAATGCGGGAGTCCTGAGGCACATTTTGGTATCTGTTAGGATTGACCTAATATGGATTCCCAGGGAGCTGTATTTCCAGAGTCACGCTCTTTCCATCCCCATCTTTCTGCCGCCAGAGATCCCATGCTTCGCTCACCATTGAGGGAGGGATGTGGAGGCTGCCATGTTGGACGTGCCGGAGGGCGTGAAAGGGAGGTGGTGGGAAACTGGGACAGGGTGGACAGAAGCGCCGGGGTGGGAAGGTGCTGTGAGAGGTGAGACTCGGTGCCCACTCCCGCGGGAGAGAAACTATGCAAATGTAGCTCTGCTCTGTTGCATCAACTTAAAATGGCAATTGCTCAACCCAGATGTGGAATCATTCTTCACGTGTCCAAGAGAACCCTTCTGGGTCTCCTTTGTACTTTGCACCGTCAGCCATGTGCCCCAACTGTCCTTCTGGGTGGGTGGTTTGGATTCCTGACGCTAAGCAAGGTTCTCCACTGCTTCTACAACTACGGAGCTGTCACTTGATGGCTTCTACCAGGAAGCCTCCCTACTGAGCTCTGTTCTGACTGGGGCGTCGATCACCACAGTTTTCCCACTGCTTTTCGTCATCAAGGCATAATCCCGTCTTGCCCAAGATTTCGTTTTTACCTTTCCTTCAGACTCACACTCCTTCCGTTTTCTTAGGTAACCCCTCTCCTGAACACACATAGGGGCAGTTTCTATTCCTTCCTTGAGTGCCAGGCACGGTTTCCATGACCTTGGTAGACAGCCATCCTTACCCCTGAGGGTCTTCTATTTCTCCCACCAGCCTCTCAAGCAGAGCATGTGTGACAGGGGGCTACGTACTTACAAGGACACACACTGGATTCAAGTACAAACTAAGAGAACCGGGTCCTACTTTTCTAGTTTAGAGGCTTCTCTCTAGTCTATGGAGCCAAACAGACCAAAACTAACAAGAAAGCAACAATACCCCTTCCTTTCTTTGTCACCGTGGCAATGACATCAGGGTACTGATGGTAACCAGACGCTGGCACAGGAAAATCAGAGCTTGCCCCTACATGGCGTGAACCCGGTCAGCTTGGGGACGCCACTTCCCCCGACGTCACATTTACAGATCGGGATATGCATGAAACCAATTTCTTCAGTCTCTCACCAGCCTCTTGGTAAGCCAACCCCACTTCACAGATGAAGAAAATGAGGCACCGGGGAGATCTGACCAACCTTGCACTTAGTCACAGGGCTGCCACCGTTCTCACTGGCACACAGCTGGCTATGAGGGATGTAAGCTCAGGTGACACCACGGGGTAACTTTCTAGTCCAGAACGCTTCGCTCAGAATCCCCAGGGAATGGAAATCCCGGTGAGGGTTTCATGGAGAACGTCGCCTCCCCTTTCCCCATGGCTCCCGGGTCTTCAAATTACGCTAGCAAAATGCGCCCAAGCCGTGTTCGTATACAGCCCCTCCACAACGAGAGGTGGTGCCATATCACACGTGGGATAAGTAATGCGATGTCCCTCATAGAAGACCAAAACCAGACCAGAACCAAATCCATCACAGACACTGTAAGTACTGGGTGAGGCTCCTGGATTGCTCCAGAGGCGCTGGGACAGGAAGAGCTGACACTGGATACAGTCCCGTGTATGCAGCTGTGTGTGCAAGCCGGGGGGGAGGGGGTGGGGGTGAGGCTGCAGGGCCTGGAAGCCTCCAGCACACGCTGTGTCTGCGTGGCGGTGAGCTCCGCTCAGAGTGGAGCTCTGATCCCCTCTCCTGGGCTAACTGCTGCGTTTGCCAATACGGGTATTTTCGCAAGCGGCGTGTGACTGATCTGGAGAAAGTGAACGTGTGAGGCCCTGCGGGTGCTGACACGGGCCTCGGTGTGCGCGCGCATGCATGTGCGAGAAGGTTTCGCTGAAGGGGTCCTGGCTGAGAATGTTCTACTCTTTAGTGGTTCATTCATCCCCATGGCCGCTCAGATCTGGTTTGACGGTAGGTTCTGGACATCGCTTACTAAGTGTTGCATGGCCCCCAAAGAATGTGCCTCTGAGAGGAAGAGCTGTTAGGAGAAGGAGGTGAAAGCCTCCAAGAATTCTGCCCTTCTGGTTGCTTACGTCCTCTCCTGCTGCGCGACTTCCTGCCTGGAGATCGACCTAATGGAGGTGGGACTGGAAAATGTGGCACCTTTAGAAGCCCAGCTATGGCAGTCCCCAGGGCACAGGGTGGGCTGGGAAGAAAGAGGAGGGAGCGTTCTAAGCGGAGCTGGCCCAGGGAGGGAAGAGCAAGGGGAGGCAGGGGCCTGGGTTGAGGAGGGCAACGTGGCGCATTCCTGCTAAGAGGTAGTGAGAATAAGAAGAGAAACAGAGAAGGGCTGCCTGTTGACAGAGGGAGCGAGGGATCCGAGTGAGGTAAATTTGGCTCCTCAAACCACCAGCATGAAAACATACAAACACGTTTATTATTTTCTTTGTATTGTCTTTCCTCTTTAAATTCCTCTAATTGTTGAAAATATCCTTCCGTGATGTAATAGAGGGCAGGGACCCAGGGAGTCTAGGACAGAGGGAGGGGGCGGGAAAGATGGCGGACACCAGGCTGACAGCTGGAGGCAGGGAAGGGTGGCTTCTACCCAGAAAAAAAAGGGAAGAGAGTATAAAGAAGTGTCCAGATTGGCTGAAATAGCATCCCAAAGAAGAGAAGAGAAGGAGACTCTTATTGTGTTTGCTGATTGCTTCGACCTCCAGTCTGACCGCTTCAGCGATGGGAGAGAAACCCTCCCTCCTGGCCCTGTCCCGACTGGGACACAGGGTCAGCCGGGATGCGATTGCTAGGAGATCAGTTGGAGGTATCAGAGTGAACACTGCCAGGGCCTTCTGTAGGGGAGGTCACTGATGAAGGGGTAGTAGCATCCTGCCAACCTCCATTAGCCTAGAAGGGAAAAAGGGAGAGAGGTCAGTCTTCTGAGATCGGGTGGCCACTTTGAGCAGACAATGACAACAAGGCAACTTGGGTAAAGGGCCTAGCACCGTGCCTGGCACGTGGGAAGCTCCTCGGCTGGGCAGCTATTGTTGCGGCTGATAGGACTCCCTCCACCCTCAGATGAAGTTGGGCCCTCCCACGGAGCCTTTGGACACGAGGTTCATACCTCCCGCCTCTCAAAGCTATTTTAAGTCAGTCCAAGCTGTCTGATGATCATTGCGATGCTCTAGAGGAACGACAGGTCAAGGGACCCAAGTTCTAGTTCTGACTCTGGCAATGACTAGCTATCGACTCTGGCGAGGCACTTCAGGCCTTCTACGTCTTCAGGCCTTGGGTTCCCCTTGAGAAAAATAAAAAAGGTTGCCCAAATGCTTTCTAAGGTCTTCGCTGCATGTTCTATATGTTAGGGGCTCTAAGGCACTTGTTCTGTGCAAGGTTCTATACTAGATGCTCATGGGTTTACAATGATGAGTGAGATATGGTTCATGTCTTCAAGGAGGGGTAAGACACGCATGCGAATGACCTATAATTCAAGGCAGAACCTAAGAAATGGCACAGCCCAGCTGTGATGATGGTTGAGATGAAGGCAATACCCCATCATGTTGGGGCATCAGGAAAGGTGTCATGGAGGAGGTACTCTTTGAGGTGAGCCTTGAAAAGTACGGAGGGTGATTCAGGCCATCAAAACCGGGGAAAACAGAGGTGGGCAAAGGGCTGATCCACACAAATTTATCTAGAGAGGTGGGTGAGCCAGGAAGCTGTAAGTTTGATCTATCTTTATAGATCATTTTTCTAAGACTCTAAATCTAGAAGCAGCCAGAAATGGAATTGCTCTAAAAGGATTTGTTTTAATGACCACCCCTCTCCAAAAATATCCCCCCATTAAAATAGCTGGCGGATGATTTGCTAGAGTGGTTAATTCACGATGCATAATTCATGATTGTTTATGTATTTTAAGGCATTAAAATATGAGTGAGCTAAAATGCCTCCCCCCCCCCCCAGTTGCTGTGTTCCTTTGGAGTTAATATAACCCCCTCAGCTCTAAAAAGGTTAATGTTGAACAGATCAGGTCTTAGGCATTCCTGGTAACTTATTTTCTACTGTATTTTCCACTCATTTTCTTCTCTGAAATATTTCTTGGGGCAGGTGTTAGTATTGCCATTTGGGGGGGGGTCACAGTTCCCGCTCTAGAATAATCCGCAGCACCCAGGAGCTACATGCTGGCAAGCATGCTCACATTTCATTCATAAGAAAGCAGGGGTGCGAGAGAGAAGCAGGCTTCTGGTTTACGACTGAGACACACAGGCTTCATAACCTATGAATCTAGGCTCCGTTTCCTCTGCCCTTCTCACCCTCTTGGCTACCTTCTCACTGGCTCACCCAAAGGATGTTCCAATTTTCCCAGGAAAGCCAGGCTTTTCATTCAGAGCAGCTCCCACCAGTTACCTCTACCTGAGGAGAGATGTTTTTCTGTCCCTCCCTAAAGAGCAGGCAGGTCTAGATACTAAGGGCAAAAGGTTGGCCCGGGCAATGCCAAGGACATTCCACCTCAGTTGGGGATGCACGAATAACTGCACGAAAATCCCAATCTCCACCTCCTGACCCAGGCAAGTAGCTCCTTCGCCCCCTCTCCCCACCCAGCACATTTCTCTTGTGCTCGGTGAGGGATCGGATGGGGAACAATGAGGAAGAAATGGGAACTCTTTCTTTTACAACCAATTTTTCTGGGGTGCCTGGGTGACTCAGTCAGTTAAGCTTATGACTCTTGATTTTGGCTCAGGTCACGACTGCATGTGGAGCTCTGCACTGAGCGTGGAGCCTGCTTGGGATTCTCTTTCTTCGTCTCTTTCTGCCCCTTCCCCATGTGTTCTCTCCCCAAATAAATAAATAAATAAACATTTAAAAATATACAATTCTTTCTTTTCTATCTTTCTGGGGCCAAGACCCTATCATGCGATCCCAATCAAGAACAGAATCAATTCAGTTTCCTAACACAGGTTGGTTACAGGGGTGGTAAGAGCTTAGTCCATCTTCCCAACCAAGAACACATGTATTCTGATGCTGTTTCAGGAGGAGTGGAACAGCGACTATACTTATTTTATCCCAAAGAAATTCTTTATTGATTTTATCTTTTCTGGTTATAAAAGGTAAGCTTATATAAAATTTACAAATATAATATTTGCAATTGGATATGCAATAGTTGGAAAACAGAAAAAGCATAAAAAACAAAATGCACAACTCTGAAAACCCTATTGTGCAAAGATAGTTAACTGTTAGCATTTTGATACCAGTCTGTCTTAATAATCCTTTTTTACATGTGTGTGTTTAGCAGAGAGATAGATGGATAAATAAGTAAATAGCTCTGTGTGTGTGTGTTTGCTGAGTAGTACAGGATTTTAAGAAAACTGGACAGAGCTTCTGTAAGTGCAGTGTCATGAGGCAGAGATTAAAGTGCTCACACAAGAAGAAAAGGCTCAAGAGTCTTAGAATCGACCTGGGGGAGACATATAGATGTGGACACCCCAGGAAAGGAGTCCGTGTCCATGTCAGAGTCCAAGGCACAAGAGTTTCACCACATGGCAGCCATAATGCACCGCGACTACCATTATTTAGCCATGCTTCAATTTCATTAAAATAACAATAAGCGGTGTCAAAAATAAAGCCATTAGTAAAGAAAATGAGCCCTGTGGTGTCTCATTAGGAAGGATTTGGCAAAGGCATCCTGGACGGACCAGAAGATTCTGGGAGACTCCTTTTGATTCGGATGTCTGAGATGAAATAACTCAAACAGTAGACATCCGAAAAAGTTTTGTTTTCTCAGACCAGTGCACAAGACGCCAGAGGGCCCAGGGAACTCACAGATGGCAGAGACAGGAATCAGTTCGAGCTGATATCAAAACCGGCATTTTAATTATACTACTTGGCCCGGTGAGGAAGAATATATAAATACATAAGACCTCTGAAAAATAAATAAAATCAATGTCTTTCTTTTTTCACTTCCTCTCTATCCGTGCGCGTGCGCGCGCGCGCACACACACACACACACACACACATGCTTCAGACGGTGACCAACTGTCCCATAGTGCCTCAGAGTTAAGGCTGAAGTCCTGTATCCTATAACTACCCCCCACCAAGAGTCCCAGGAACAGGGACCCCTCTCTTGCCACACTGGGAACACTGCGGCCTCTGGGTGTCAAGCGAGATGAACACATGCCCTTTTTGGAATAAGCGTGCCTGACTCTGGGCCAGGTGGAAGAGGACTCTCTTTCCTGGAGCTACTTGAAACCACAGCACAGCGTCTGCCGCCACCGCTGCCGCTAAAACCTCCGTGATCAGAAACGGCGAGCAAGCCCAACTTGCCCAGGTTTCCCGTAAATCATTCCGGCTGCTTCGGCGGCGCGGCTCCAGCCTTAATGCAAGACGTTCGGAGGCTGCTCCGTCTTGGGAAACAGCTGACCTCGCTTACTGCCACGTTAACCCTGGGGAGCAATTCCATCCCGCTTCCTGACTGCGGGTGCATATTAAGTAGGAAGCTCCGCCTTTGTGTGTTTATTTATCTCTGGAGGGGGTGTAGGGAGCTTAGAGGATGGTCTCATTAGCGACCATGGGGGGGGGGGTGGGTAGGCGAAGAAATAAATATGATTTTTCCTTTTGATTTTTCTTCTGCACCCCAACTTCCACCTGCACTCATCTTCAGATGCAAATCTCCCTTTAGAACAGGCAGCCTCCCTTCAAAATGCTGATGTTGGAAATGCACTTGAGCCTTCACGGGGGCAGGGGTGGGGGGCTGAAATCTGCAAAACCAAGTGCGCCCTTGTTATCTCTAGGAGCTTCCCTGATGGAGGAGCGTTTATGTTCGCAGTTAGTCGTACAGGTAATTGTGCGGCCGGCGGCCTGGAGGCGAGACCTAATCTCACATCTAATTCCACCAGATGAAGCCTAAGCCAGCAGCAGGCTCACCATGGAGCCTCCTGGAGGAGGAAGCCAACGGAATACAAAATTAGGACAAAATGCACATGGTTCCCTAGACAGGAAAACCTGGACTTGCAAACACAAATGAATGAAAGGAGTTTGGGAACAAAAAATTTCAGAACAAATGACTACTGACTCTACGTCCTACCCGAATGACTTTGACACATCATGGATAGACACCCAATCTATGTTGCCAGTACCCCCTCTAATGGATAAGGTGCAGCCTTCCTGTGGGATGAGGCAGAGCGAGCTAGTTATAAGGTCAGGGATGAAGCAGTGGGGGATGGGAACATCCACGTGGGGACTCCTGAAAAAATAGGAGAACATGGAATTGTACCTGAAGCTCCTACTTCTCTCTCTCTCTCTCTCTGGCACCTTTCCCATCCCAAACAAGGGCCACCTGCCTCTCCCTCACTGTTGAGGGTCCAGGACTGCTTTTAGCCCAGAGCAGTGGCTGCCGAGCTGAGAGCGGCTGGTCCCATCCTCTGTTCCTTCCCGCCCTTCCTCTGAGCTTACCTTACTTAGCAGCACACAGTTGATGCAGAGAATTCATCACCTGATGTGACAGCCCAAGCGAAGCCTGGCACTAAGAAACTCTCATTTGCAACCCGGAAATACGCTGAGGTGCCACAAACTGGCTGATGTCAGCACCAAGTGGAGCTAGATCTGCATATGGGCCAGATGCCATTACGAGAGATGCCTTCAGCGTGGCTGAGGAGGCGGACGTGCTCTAGGACCCCAGTGGCCCGGCACTGGTGGGGCCGGCCAGGAAGGAAAACAGAAGAAACGAGGATGCGCCCTCTCTCCCTCTCCATGCACACACACGCGGCCAGGCAGGCACAGGCACAGGCACACACACAAACACACGTGTACAGCCACCACTTATGGGGCGGACATCAGCTCCCTTAGTGGGGCCACAGCCTAGATCGACCACTTTTCCAACAAGATCGAAGAACTGTGTTCTCTAGATATGCATA